AGTCTAATTAACCAAAACTTTGCGACCCCCATGCAGTACCTCTGCGGACCCCCTAGGGGTCGCGGACCCCCTGTTGAAGACCTCTGCCCTACAATATTCACTGCAGTACCGTTTCCAATGAACGTTTTAAGAAATGGAGTTGTTGCCTTGAATACTGGATCCTGATGTTCTCAGCCTAACAATAATTAGTTCTGGTGTCCATTAATGTTTTTATACAGTCACATCTAATGAATTAGAATAAGAGTTTCCCATGTAGTCCTGAATTTTGCCATCTGTATTCATTACACAGCTCTTTGGTCTAAAACTGAGGCAGGGTTTACGTCTGTGCCATAATTACGCATAATGGAGGAGCACTTTTATTAGTAACCATAACGGAGCCTGCAGTGGAGTGATGTTTTAATGAAGCCATTAATGAAGTCCCAAAGGAGCCAGATATATGCTTAAAAGCTCATCAAGAGAATGCACTGAGTGTGCCAAGCAGTAATCAAAGCAAAAGGTGGCTACTTTAAAGAACCTAGCATAAAAAACATATTTTCAGTTGTTTCACTCTTTTTTATTAAGTATATAATTCCACATTTGTTAATTCATAGTTTTGATGCCTTCAGTATGAATATAGAATTTTAATAGTCAGGAAAATAAAGAAAACACTTTGAATGAGAAGGTGTGTCTGTACAGTGCATGTGTTGGTATATCTGATTTCATGTTTGAAAACATTTGACTTTGCTTTTGAGTTTTTTATTTTTAAGATGCCCTTTTTTTCTTCGACTTTTGCTTCTATTTTTTGTTACCGAGTGCTTGTCAATGCATATAATCTTATATTTAAAAAATAATGGACTTCGAAAAATACCTCTGCAGTTAAACCATAGATTGGTTTAATAATTAATTTTCAAGGGATGCTCTTTGTGGTTAAATTGAATTGCATTGTCTTTTACATCTGTCCATTAAAGCAAAAGACCAGTTTCATGAAAAAAATAAACATTTGAAGAGCCAAAACCTCTTGTTTTCTCCTATAGAAAAGTCTTCATAGCTTTATCCACCACAAGTCCCAGATTATGCAAAGATTTTATTGCAAATCAACTTATAGGTATCAAACTTGGTATGGTAATGAATAGCAGAAAATTATCGGTTGAAATTGTTCATATCGTGCATCGCTAGGATAAGGACTAAGGCTACATTTGCATCAAACGTGGCCTTTGGACAGCAGAAGGAGCAGGAGGAGCGCATCTTGACCCATCGGAGCAACTGAAGCAGCACCTCATTAGCATCTGAGGTGTGTGAAACGCTTCAGACGCAGCTAGGGATGCACGATATAATCGGCCCCCTATCGGTATCGACCTTAAAACTGAATATCGGACATCGGCC